CAAGGCCAGAGCCCCTGTACCTCCGAAGGAGCCTGAGTCAGCCCCTGCGCCGGCTCCTGGAAATGCCGAGGCCGACCGTAGATGATGATGCACAGATGCATACCTGCGTGTGCCAGGACTCCGATCGCAGAAAGGCAATGCTCGAACAGATAGCGCAGCTTGAAGCCCAGCGGCGCAAACTGCACTACGAACTGTTTGGAGGGAACCCTCCGAAGCATGAGCCCCGCACCCCGGTGAGAACTCCTACAACCACGGCATCTTCCTCACCGCCCCCCTCAAGCCTGCGTTCTACAGCATCCACGGGCACTCCTACACCTGCCCAGCCTGATTCGAGTGGCGAGCGCGATGAGAAGGCACCGCCAGCACTCCTGCACATGTGTTCTTATGCGTTCCGTTCATGGCATATACCATGAAATCCAACAACCCAAGGTCGAAGTCAGACCGGGCGGGCAGGTCTATGTGAATGGCAAGATCTTATCCGACAGTGCTGTTGAACAGCGCCTGCGACGACTCTGCAAGGTGCGCAAAGGAGGTGAATGCCCAGCTGGTGACGAAGCCAGGAAGATGTTTCAATCCGGCGGGGACGACCGTGCAGCCCTTGTGGAGATGTTCAAGCAGAGCAGTCTCAAGAAGGATCGGAGGGTCGGGCGGGGGGGTTGTGGGCATGCAGTATTTCGCAGCAGCAGGGATGGGTCCTTGCAACATGAAGGACGTGCTAAAGCGCAAGATTGTGCAGCACAAAGAGAAGGAGAAGGCCAAGAAGCTCCAGCTGAAATGCGGATGGTACACCGAGCAGAAGATATCTACCGTTCTTCAGATGTGCGAGACCCTCGCCTGCAACTCTGTATGAATGCTGTTCGTTTGCATTTTCATGCGGTTCGCCTGTGGTGAGCACACCCAGGGAAGACATCAAATCAGTCGTGGCCTACACCGAGACCCGGCCTGCGTTGCGACGGCTCAGTCCTTATCTGCACTGATCAAGTCTTGAAGTGCCCAATATATGTTCTCGGAACTTAAGCGAGGCCATGGAAGTACAACACCAAGAAATGGGAGCACTGGGTTGACACAGACGAGTCGGGGGAGCTAACTTTCACGGACCGCGAAAGAATTCTCGAGGAGGCGACACTCGACCTTGAGAACTCGCCCACGGAGCATCTGGCACTGGATTTCAATGCTGGGCCCCGAGCTCTGCAAGACGGTGCCGGTCCCAGCGGAGAACTTGGCGTGGAGGGTGAGGCAGGGTCTTTGTACAGCAGAGTGTAGCATTCGACCCACAAACATGTTGGTTGTTTTTTGGATGTTCTGCCGTGCTGTTTCTATTGCGGTCTCTGCAGGATATCGTCGGCGACATCAACAAGAGCATGCAATGTCTGCTTGTCAAAAGCACCAAGCTTACAGACGTGTGGTCTAAGCTGGCGAGCTCTTCCTCTGCCGAGTCCACAAGGACCGGGACACACATCCACACTCAAATAACCCACAGACAACGTTGCATGGACTTTGATTTACCTTTGGCTCTTACTTCCCTGAAGGCTGGCGGATGAAGCCAAGACCCTTCAAGAGCAGTTCGATGCAAGCTATGATGCCATGGCGAAATTGCTACCAAAGATGAAGACTCCAGCAGGCGTCAAGAAGTGCCCTCGAAAGCAATACGGTAATTTTTGCAGCATGCAATTATAACCCTCAACCCCCGAAGAACTGAAGCCTTCTCCTTCAATCAAAGGCACCTTGAAGCTGCCACGAAGCTGGTCGAGGATGCTGAAGTGCTGTGTCCTGGTCGGATCAGATTCTAGCTGTGAGACTCAGCTGACTCAGCTGCGAGTTGGTAGAGTCGGTATGGTAGCTGAGGGCAAGTAAGTGCACACGCGTGGAAGCCAAAGCTGGGCCGGTCCTGCGCTCGATGAAGAGGGCGCCCGCTGCCTCGGAGACCGAGAAAGATACAGCAACACTGGCCACTGCTCCACGGGCTGGCAAAAGAAAGGCTGTGGCTCCCAAGGCCAAGGGTGCCAGCAAGAAGCCACGAGCGGGGAAGTGATCAAGGATCACAGGGGTGCTGCAGGATGCCTCTCTAGATGCATCCGCTTAGATTGTGAACACGGTCTGCAATGGGCTTCGGGGTTCAAGGAAGCCTCTAGTAGCACGCCGTGCGCAAGCTTACGGGGAGTTTGAACATACGAGCAATCGGCATCGATGAAAAAAGCGTGATGCACCAAGCGGCCTGCTGCTCGTCATCTGCTTGCAAAGAGCCAGCCACCACCATCGCTGAACCTCGATAGGCAGTTGTACCTACTGTCATTGCCAGGTTCTGTGGGACCACTTGGTGATCATGCTGCGATGTGTATCGCCAACGGGGCCGGGCCACACTGATCGAGATGAGTTTTCACATGCATGCAACACATAGCGAGTGAATAACCCGCGAGTTTGTTTCGTGCTGTCAGGCTACTGCTTCCTCCGTGGCCAGCATGGCCAAGGCAGCGGTGGAACACTTTGGGCCCACCTCTTGTCCGGTGGTCAGCAAACTCGCCAGAACGAGGAAGGATCGCGCCGAGGATGCATGCCATGAGGTGTTACTTACATGCATTACAACACCCATGTTAATTGTACACATGCATCTCGATGTTTTCTTTCGTGTGAGTATGTGACATGTACGGTACGGGCCTGTTACACAAGGTTTCGAAAACACAGCCTCGAGCTGGACATACGGATTTCGTGGATCGATGTTGGCCTCCAGAACCAGAAGTTTCCCGTTCTGCAACCATGTGATACTATTCGGTTTATGGCTGCGCATGACGAAATCGGTAGGCTGGTAGGCAACACTGCCTTCGAGGATCTGGAGACCACGCTTATGGCGTTTTGGAGGAGGTACTCTATTTTGTATCCGTCGCATCAAGTGTTTGCAGAGGGAAAAGATTTGCAACTTCGCCACTGCATTCCTTGCTATCTGCACGGCGATGATGGACGATCTTTCAAAAAAAGCGGAGTGCTGCTGATCAACCTCCAAGGAGCCATCGGAACAGGATCCGAGCCTTTCCACAAGAAGCATAAGCTCAGTGAGCGTTTCCGGCAGGCTTCGATGGGTCTCAATATGGGGGGACACTCCTATGCCAGCAGACTGTTGTATTGTTCAATGCAGCGAAAGTTTTATGCAAAAGATCCACATGTACTCGAGAACCTTCTCGACAATCTTGCAACACAGCTCTTGCGATCACAGCAAGGTTTCGAGTACAAAAAGCAAACATGGCACATTGTTCTGCTGGGTGTCAAGGGCGATCTGCCGTGGCTGACAAAAGCAGCTGGATTTGAAAGACATTTCCTACGAGCACAGCGGTCGCTCAACCGGAAATCGAAAGAACCACCTGCAGGCGTCTGCTTTCTTTGTCATGCAGGGCGTTCCAACATTCCCTACGAAGATTTTTCTGATGGTGCTGCTTGGACCAGCAATGGTTGTGACCCTCCGTGGTCACGACCGCCGAGCCTGTTGAGGCTATACCATAACCCGACGGAGCCGTCTGCACTTTACAAGCTCGACATATTTCACAACTTCCACGGCGGGGCTGGGAAGGACTGGGTTGCATCCGCGATGACGGAGGCATTGAGCTTGCTTCCGGCTACGTCGCGGGAGGCCAAGATTATCTCCATGGCGGAAGTCATGCGAGAGTGGGGTCGCGATGATCCGAAGAAGCGTCCTCATTCAGGAATTTTTTGCGTTGACCGTATTGGCCTCACTTCCTACCAAGTGTGTCCGGAGGCCAGCTGGTCGAAACACAATGACACCACAATATATTTGAGATTCCTGCAGTACTTCCTGCATGCTCGGCCAGAGCATGCGCAGAGCGAGAAGCTGTCCCTCATTTACAGGGCGACTTGTGCCATCAACCTGTCGTTTCAGCTCCTGTACGAGTCCGGCTTGTTCATTCCGAAGGCTACAGCGCAACGCATCGCAGCGTTGGGCAGGTTCTGGTTGCAAGCTTATGCGGTTCTCGCTGTGAAATCACACAGCGAGGGCTTTCCCATTGCATACGAAGCTGCATTATTGTGACCACTCGTGGAGGCAGCTACAGGAGCAGGCTTCAAAGTCTGAATGGGTATACAACATACTCAACGAAAGTGTGCAAATGGATGAAGATTTCGTAGGCCAGCAGGCAAGATTAAGCCGCAGAGTTTCCCCCGTTAGCAATTCATTTCGATCATTGCAGCGCTTCCTGGTGCGAGCGAAAGCGATCTGGGTCAATAAGGCCACTGAGCTCCAGGCGAAGCGGAAGCAGCCAGCAAGGGGTACTGCTGAGTAGAAAAGGCTTCGTGGAGCGAGCTTACGATGTGCAACAATAAAAGCATGCATATTTACATCCTCGCAATCCACCCCCGTGCTTGCAAAGCCCTTGCGTTATCAGAAACCCCATTCCGCAGCTCAACCGAATATGGCCGTATATGCGAAACGAGCGGTCAAGGGCGAAAGATCGGGTATACGCGGTCGTTTGGTGTTAAAGGTACTACTACAACTACTACAACTACTACAACTACTACAACTACTACTACTACTGCTACTACTGCTACTACTACTACTACTACTACAGCTACTACTACTACTACTACTACTACTACTACTACTACTACTACTACTACTACTACTACTACTACTACTACTACTACTACTACTATTACTGCTACTGCTACCGAACTACCTACTAGACATGTCCCTCAATCCGGCAACCCTCCTACCATCAGCCTTTCGGGGTGCTTTCGACTTAGGAATCTCTCTATCGAGACGATGACATGCTGCTACTATTGCTATCCATCTTGAACTGATTCTTGCTGTTCTAACCCTATCCCTCCAAGGACCTCATAGTTAGGGCCCTAGACCCCTTAAAGACCCCATAATAAGGTCTCTGGAGGCATTGGGGAAGTGTTATGACTCCAGGCATTATCATTCCTCGTCGCCCTTCCGACTCCAGATTTCGTTACTGCCTTCGCACTTACACTGTCTTGAAAACTGGGGACAGGACGAAAGCCAGCAGCCTCCCAAGCCTCAGCTGCGTGCAGAATGCATACCTTAACTATTGCAGGGTCCCTGCCCAGTATGTGCTGCAGCCGAGCGTAGACTAGAACCGCATTGTTCAGGGGTTACGCCTTAATTTCTACATCTTTACTTCATGCCTTGACCGCGTGTGCATTTTTGTTTTTGTATCTGCCCGTCTGTTGGCCTGCTTACTCGTTTGATTACTGCCAGTCTTCGCATATCGAACATGTCTGCATAGCTTTTGTCGGTGTCAGGCCCGGGTAAAGGCAGAAAAATGAACATATGCCACTAGATAGCTGTCGTATGGTGGTGCACCAGGACATACCTTGCGGGGCTCAAAGGAATCCGCCAGGTTCGGGAATCTTAAGCTTTTTTCGGGATTGGCTTAAGGCTCAGGAGTCACACACCTTAGTCAAACTTTGCTTGAAGTGGCCTCCAAGCCGCAAGGCAGCCTGGGTGATACAAATCTGTCAGGACTGAGTCTTAGGGAAACCCGTCCGAATCCAGAAGCCCAGCCACGAGGCTGCATACACTGAGGTACCCGCAAACTTTGGGTTTACGGTATGGATGTCATATGATCCACCCCCATACCCAATTCCAATGATTCAGGTCCTCTATGAAGCCACTCTATGAAGCCTTTTGCGAACCTCGTAAACGCCCTTGTAGGTCCCTCTTCTACTGTACGTATTCAGGCCCCTACTGCTGATGGACAAAATCCTGCCTTACTCATTATAAGGAATATACCATAGTTCCTATAGTTTAAAGTCCTCAGGGTCATGCAGGATTTTGTCCATCAGCAGTATTCAAGCCTACAAGAACCCTGTTGTGCCAATGTTATCATGCCTTCTATGTAATATGTAATCTGTCAGACATGAGGTCAGCGACAAGCAGTATTTCGGCTATCACATACCATACTGTTGGATTGCAACTAGTACTAGCTTCGCGGCAGCTACGGAGCCACAAACGCCCTCAACATCCCGATCCCTGACAAAACTAACAAAGCCTCAACCCCAGAAGACCCAACCTGGCAAAAACACATGGAAGCTGCGAGAAATCCGGGAGATTGAACAGTAGGATCCTTAATCTAAGGACCTTTGAATGAAGTACCCCTACATCACTACTCTTAAGAAACCCCATATTTTGCAACCCTGGGCCCAACGCAGAAGCTGAGCCAGCTTTCGGAAACCTGCACTTACGCGCATCCAAGGATTCCGGACTTTTCAGAATGGGGGTTCGTAAACCCAACACCCCAGTGCCTGAAACTCAACATCCAACAAGCCTTCAAACCCCGTCTTCCTAGCCAAATCACAGCCCCAAACCCCAGAACATGAAAACCCCGCTGCACCCTAGAAGCCCTAATTGCCCTATACCGCAACACTTCTACAGTATTCAAAAGCCCTAAATCCCCAAATCCCTCCTGCAGCCCCACGGAAGAATCCCATGAACCCTGTAGCCCTAAAGCTGCGAGGACCCGGCACTCCATGAGCCCTTAGCCCCTGACGTCCAAGAACTCTTCAACCCCCTATAGGCCCTAACTATAGAACCGAACCTTTCACATTTTATAGAGCGTTATATTATCATAGAAGCACACACACACACAAACGAAACCCTAAATCCTAAACCCTAAATCCTATACATGTTAAATCCTAGACCCCTTAACCCCAAACCCTAAACCACAAGCGCCGGCCTCCTTCGGCCTCCGCTTCCTGCGTACGCTTCTCGGCCGCCACGACACGCTCCCAGAGCCTCTCAAGGCGCTCTTTGCGGGGTTTTCAGGATGCCCAACTCATTTGATTCAGGGGTACTCTATACATATATACATATATATATATATATATATATATATATTATATGTACACATACACAAACTTACTTGCAGACTGACTATGCATACATACTCACTGAGCCAGAAGCCTTGTAATGTAGTCTCGACACTGCATCCATACCAGGCCTAAACCCGGAAGTGCCGGCTGTTCCAACGCAGTTAATAGAGTCAGAGGTCCCTTCTGCGTGCGGAGAACGTGAAAGCCACAATCAACATTGCTCCTTATTAAAGAACCATCAAAAGACTCCACGTATACTCCGACGAATACTCGATGAAATGAACTCAAATGGGCTCGCTACGATTGCCTGGTAATGAAACCCTAAACCCTAAACCCTAAAGCCCCTAAACCCTAAACCCTAGCCCCATGTCCCAAGCTCGTGCCTCTGCTCGCGCTCACTAGGCTGCGATGCCTCGCTTTCACCATGGGATCCAAGACTTCGGCCCAAAAGCGTTCGGGGATTTAGGCTTAAGGCCCCAAGGGTTTCGGTGCAGGATCGATGGGCATTTTTGTGCGGCAGCTGACCCCTCAACTTCCGACTTCAAGACTTCATCTGGGAGTGCCCGAAAATAGGGGGCCCTCATATGGTACCCTAGGACCCCCAAATAAGGTACCCCCCCCCAATTTTCAGAAACTCACATTTGGCAAGCTTCAGGGCTTACGGCGACTCAGGGCTGCAGCGCCGTTCGAGCAAGGCTCGAACAGTTTTGACAGCAACGGCGCAGCACAAGGTGCCAAGGGCTGCACAGGGATGGGCGCTCGAATCTTTGGAGCCTGCAGCGCAGGGGAAGTTGCTCCATACTTCGGTTCCCTGTCTCCTTTGCTTTCGGGGGAAGGGTCTCACAATGAACATCAGCGGCAACATCTGGGTGGTTGTCAAAACTATAGTCCCTTTTTGGGTCCTTATTACAATACGGCACCTACTATTTTAGGATACCCAAAAAGGGACCGTAATTTTGACAAACACCGATCTCTTTTGAGGCGCTGGCCAGCGCAGCTTGGAGCTGTGCAAGAAGCAGTCCTGCACTTCGTAGCATCGTGGGGGGATGGTGCTATTTGGGGGTTTCCGAATCTAGGGAAACATAAAAAAGTACCCTAAATAGTAGGATCCTGAATTGAAGGACCCCAGAAAAAGGTACCCCTAATTTTCGGAAACTCCCATTTTGCTTTGTCGGAACCACGACCAGGGCGCCACCACACCCACAAACAACAACAGTACCTATCACCACACCACCCCAGGACAAGCTGCAGCAGAATGCAGCAGCAACAAAACCACGACTATCACAACCACCTTCTCCATCTTCACCATCAGCGTTATCACCTTTGCAGTCGTCACCCCTGTCACCATCCTAGAAAAAATGCTGAAACGGCGTTCTCATCGCCATCGTCATCGTCATGAGGGTACTGTCGATAGCATCATAATCATCATGTTCTTCTTCATCGCTTTCATCATCACCGTCGTGGTGCTCAGACAAGTCTTCATCTTCACCAATACCACAAGCCGAAGCATGGCAAGCACTTTCCTTCTTCATCACCGCCCTCATCCTCAGCAGTCTTTGCTGCGGTGACAGACAGGGTAATACTCAGCACTGCAAAGCTGACAGAAGCGAGAACACAACCACAACACGGTAGCGATCTAATAATGCATGTGACCTAGCCGCAACTTCTTCGAGCTGACAGTTTCAGGCTTTTTGTCTAGTGGGTGGGCTGGGATGGCTGGGCCTGTGCGAGAGGATTGCTTCGATCAACCCGTAATTACTTTGCATCCTCGTTGTGTTACGCGGATCCTCATCATGCGAGTGGCGCGCCCCTTTGATCCAATCCTCTCTATATGGGATCCGCAAGGGAAGCGAGCCCAACTGAGAGAATCCATCATACATGCAGGAGCCATGCTGCTTGAGTGCTTTGGCTATTTCGGACCTACAAAGGGATGGTGTAACTAACCGAATTGATCAAAACTCTACAGCTAAACCCTAAACCCCTAACCCCTGAACCCTAAACCCTAAACCCCTAAACCCCTAAACCCCTAAACCCCTGAACCCTAAACCCTAAACCCCTAAAACCCTGAACCCACAGCTCCCATGCCAGGTCCTTCCGTCTCGGAGTTCGGCGGCAGACTCGGTAATCGTCGTTTCTCCCTCAGTGGGAGCCCTGGTTTAGGGTTTAGGGTTTAGGGTTCCGACGGCTAGCAGACTGCAGAACTAGACAGCTCACCAGACTTTCTGGGCGAGGGATGCGAGTCGAGGCAAGTATACTGCATAACCTATGACGGCATGACACTCATGCAAGATTACACGATCGAACTTACAATATAGAATATATAATTAATACAGAGTATGAAATATGAAAACCACCTCAGGATGCAGGTTCGCCACCGCCGACCAGCCCAAAACTGGAAGCCTGCATAATGCTGAGCTCCGAGCTCAATCGGCCCTGCCGCGGTGGTCACCTGGAACGCGCGAGGATGATAGGGCAATAGTAAAGTATGATATAGTAAATAGTATAGCATTATAGCACAGTATAGCATATATAGTATTAATATAGTCTAGTATATACCGTGGCGGCCGGTACTGTAGGCTGAGAGCTGCGCAAAGGACTCCTGCATCCTCGGAGTCATGATGACGGAAGCCTTGCAGCAAAGGGTTTAGGGTTTATAGGATTTAGGGATTATAGGATTTAGGGATTATAGGATTTAGGGATTACAGGATATAGGGATTATAGGATTTAGGGATTATAGGATTTAGGGATTACAGGATTTAGGGATTATAGGATTTAGGGATTATAGGATTTAGGGATTATAGGATTTATAAGGGTTTAGGGGCTTTAGGGTTTATAGGGTTTAGGCGGTTAAGGGGGGCCCAAAGTCTGAAACCTGAGCACTCAAATCTGAAACATGTGCAGCTCGACTCGGCGCAGCCCTGAATCCCACCGAAGCCCGTCCGTCGGCTGAGAGCTCCACAGACATGGACATGGAGCTCATGCTGGCAGTGCTGCCATTCCACCTGCGTCAGCTAATCCAAGAGAGTTACTGGAAAGGAAGGGTTGACGAATCTGCGGCGCCTTCCTATACAATAATATAATAATATAGTATCATACTAATCTAATACTATAACAATAAAATACCATGTAATACTATATATATATATATATATATATGGAATCTGATTTGTAGGCAAACCTCCAAGCTGAAGCTCTCGAGCCCGACAGTACCCTTCTGCATCCCTACAGCTCCCTGAAAGGAACCTCAGCCCGAAACCCAGAGACTCCAATATCCCTTAGTTAAGGAATATACCTTAAATCATATAAGGGATCCTACCATAATTTAAGGAACATCCCTTAATTAAGGAATATACCTTAAGCCATATAAGGGATCCTACCATAATGTTAAGGAATATTCCTTAATTAAGGGAAATTGGAGTCTCTGGGAAACTGGTGCATTGAGCGTCCCACTGCAGCGAAGCATCGACTCCGCATCGCCTGGCTGAACTCTGCATCAGTTCCGTACGTCGGGGGCTGTTCTATATTGGGAGTCCATTTCAGCACAAACGTAGGTGTCATGAGCCATGAGCATGAGTAGTCAGCGTATTCCAACCAATCCGAATATTATAGATTCTCGCGGACAATGCGTCGGACCTCGGACCAACACCTCGCTATGGGCAGACTTGATTCTGAGCAGGCGGCAGACAACGTCGGCTGCTGCGACCGTTCGGGCAGAAGGAGCACTGGCCGCAAACCAGGGAGCCGCAGGCACCTGCTCAGGCTTGAAGCCTTACCGAAAGGCTCCAAGTACCTTTGTAGTAGATACTTAAGCCTTAAAGGGGTCCCTATATAGATACTTGAAGGCCTAAGTATCTACTACTATATGGGTACATGGAGCCTTTGGGTTAACGGCTCCTGGCAGGCTAGCCTGTTGCTATGAAAGGCGACGGCGACGACCACGGCCAAAACAGGCGGGTGATTGCGATGATGCAGCACTTACTGCATAATACTGCTATACTTGTAGTACTGATCTGACTGGAGGTCTCCTGCTACAGAGGTTAGTGCTACTGCTGACGCAACAACCGCTGCCGCCGCCGCTGCCGCTGCGGATGCTGATGCTGACTCGTCCGTACTGCTTCCTCCTACTCCTGCTCCTCCTCAGCTCCTTCTCAGCCCAGGACTGCTGCGACGACCACTACTGCTTCTGCCACTGCCACTTCTAATGACCGTGGCAAGGGACGTGAGGCCGAAATGCAGCGTTGACCACAATGACCATGTTGCGATGCTGACGTCGTCCGTGATGATGCTGACGATGGCCAGCAGGATGAGGATGACAACGACAACGATGGGAAGAAAACGCAGGAAAGTCAGGAGGGGAGGAAGGGGAGAATAAGTATTCCGATCAGTATTTGCATGTGCCTCGAAAGCGTGAATGCTTGAAAGTTCTTAACCATGCTGACATCCATGCTGAGGCGAGAACGGCAGTGATGTCTTTGTCGAATAATCGGCATCCTCGGTCGGGCTCAATGTAGCTTCTGGCCGAAAACGTCCAGCCTGGCACTGTTGTGCATTTTGCCCCGTAAGCCCCGCACCAAGCACGGCCGCACAACACCTGAGCAAACGGCTATGACCTCCCATACGCTGCACACTTTGAGAAGCTTTGAGTTGGGCAAAGTCGAGATGGAATCCTCGACCTTACAGAAGCACTGCTCGTCGTCGACATCATCAGCCCCGACACCGCCAGTGCAGTGTTTCGCAATTAGGCAGTTAGGCAAAAGCGTCACCGGATTGCGCACGGACATGGCAACAATGGTGCCGCAACAGAAACAATGAGAACAAGAACAGAAGCAACGGCAGCAGCAGCGGCAGAAGCAGAAGAAACAGCGACAAAAACAACGACAACCACTTCCGCAAGACGAGCAACACCACTAACAATAACCACAAGGGCTGTAGTAGTGAGCACAGTAACGCACCGATGGCAATGTTATGCCTCTGCTGCTATTGGCATGCAAGTCCGTATTCATCAGAACAATATCACAAACACCAACTCTTACCGCGCATAGTTCTAGCACTAGCATTAATAGTAATACTCGTGTCTAGACTGCCAGTGATACGCGACGACGACTACTACCAGTAGTGATAAGCAACCGATAAATCTAAGAACAGTGATACTTCAATGATGATAACAAGAAGCGCAACAATAGTAAGACAAAGCAAAATGATTTCTACTACTGCTGCTGCAACTGCTGCTGCAGAACACTTCCAGCTGACGGCTACATAAGGTTGCGTGGGGCCTTACCGATCGGAGTTTCGGGGATGTGCTTTCAGGGTTGTGGAGAGCAGCCAGTCGGAGCAAAACGTACCGACTGCCGAGGTCCGGCAACTGCAAACCCTAAACAAAAGCAAGATTCCCTTAACCCCTGAACCCTAGACCCAACCGGGTTGTGACCGTGTGTTGCATCAACAGCAGCATCAGATCATGCTCATCATCATCATCATCATCATCATCCCTAAACCCGTAACCCTAAACTCTAAACCGGCTTGAACCCCTAAATCCTAAGTCTCAAACCCTATCTCGATCTCCTCCTCGACCCATCCTCCGGGGGCCCAGGGCCCAGGCACAGCTCGGGGAGGCGTGATCGGGCATCCAGAAGCCAAAGCCGGAGGACGCTTGCGAAGTCCTCGGCTTGGCTCAGGTCCCCCCAAAAAGGGTCTGGTAGCTTTAGGGTTTAGGGTGTATACATATATATATATATATATATATATATATAATTATATATGGTCTAGGGTTAGAGGGTTTTAGGGTTTATGGGGTTTAGAATTCAAGCAACCCGAGATACCCCGGGCCTGGTAGATTCTAAGGCTTTAACAAAATCGGTGGGTTGGGGTTGGGGCTCGAGGGTGCAGAGTTTCAAAGGTTCAGCATTCAGGGCACTCGATTCGCTGGCAGCGTTTCTGTGTTCCGCGGAGGGTTGGGGTCATGTGCTTGGGATCAAACAACTTAGATATCATGCAGCTTTGGGCTCTGAAACCTCGACGGCGAAAGGTCGTAACAGCTTTCTCGCTGCAGGCGCAGCGTGGAACCAGAACCCTGACCAATGCTACTGGAATGAGGGTTAGGCTGAAGATGCTCTCACTACAGTATAAATTACAATTGATGAATCCTGCTGTTCCGCCTCGCACAGAGTCGCACTTGGGTCCTCCAGTTGTCCGCGTGCGGTGTTCATCATCCTCCTTCGGTGCCTCCGCTTGCGGCGACGATTCCACCTTGGGTGGGCATTCTCCTTCGCGGCCTCCATGCCTTCCCCGTCTAACAATCCGTCCCTTGGGTGGTTCTTGTCCTGCTTGTCGGGGAGGAACTGACTTTGGAGCCGGATCATCTCCTCGAAGGGGGCCAGCAGAGCCTCCCGAAGCCTAGGCCCGGTCCCGGACCTCTCAGGCTCCAGTGCGTGGAGGGCCTCGGCTGCAGCCTCGAGCGTGGAGAGGCATCCGGGCTCCGGCTGCCGGCGGAAACGGTAGAGGCTCTGGAGTTTCGGGAGGATGGCTCGCGGTAGGCCTTGAAGCCACCCTGAGCGGTTCAGCATGATGCGCGCCTGATCCCAACGCGCATCGATGAAGATCAAAGTCAAGGGGGAGGAGAAAGCTTCTGATTGAAATCCGGGCACCAACTCGACTGCCTTCGGACCGGGGTAGACCAAAACGGGCTGGCGCCCGCCTTCAATGAGCTTTTCGTGCAGCGCGGCGTCTTCCAGCGGATCTGGGAACTCTTTGCAGACGATTTCAGTGATGTTGCTCAGACATAGCTGCAAAAGAGGGCCCGATCCCAATGCTCTTCGCTTCTCCTTCGGGTGAGTAAACAGCACCACGCGGGTGCTGGTATCCAGTCGCCTCTGAGGCAAAGCAGCACAGAGGCAGAGTTTCCTGTTACATCGTTCGCATTTGCTGGGCAGAATTCCTTTTGGTCCCTGCTCGGATTCTTCTTGGCACTTCACGGCCACGGCCCTTACCCTTAGCCTTGTGGCCTCCAAGCACTTCCAAGGCCGCCATCGTCTCCAAAGCAGGCAGGAAAATACGGGGCAGACCCTTCCCACAGGGCACGCCAGCGTGGACGCAGGCCTGCCCTTCTGCCTGGTTGGCTGAAGCCAATAGCTGTGAAGACGGCCTCTTCGCAGAAGCCTGGCCCCCGAAATCGCGAGATGACAAGGCTCTCGAGCCAACGCGGGCGAATTGCTGAGCATTGCATCGGTCAGGTGGATCTGAATCGCAGAGCCACAGGCCGAAAGCCAAAGCAACCGAATCCTGTCCGTGCAACGTGACTTGCATACATGATACATTACATATGGGTGGTTGTCAAAATTATGGCCCCCTTTCAGGTACCCGAAGTATTAGGTGCCGTATTATAATAAGGACCCAAAAAGGGACCATAATTTTGACAACCACCCATGTAATGGTATAGTTCGAACAAGGCCATGGCCAGCTTCACAAGCCGGCAACTTCCGAATTCAGCCGTGTCGCCGCGAGGCCACACTGCGCCCTTCTTGGAACTCCCCCAAAGCCTTGGGAACGGCACCTTGGTATCATGGTTGGAAGTTGGGGCTTCAGCTTTTGGGGATTTCGAAACACCCACTCCCCGAATACTAGGGTTATAATTAGATCCCTTATAGTAACCCTTATAGACCCCTTTAAAGGAACCCTAGGTAATTATCATATGGCCCCTCTATTACGGTCACCTTCCCAGATGTTGAGGCTGCGGCGTTTGAGGAAAGGCGCGAGTGGACGAGCAGCTTGCATCTCTCCGGATACTTTCACCTCAGGAGGCGCTTTAACCTGGGTTTTACAAGGGGGGTGGGTTGCCACTTGTCACTTCCATTGCTTCTGCTATTGCTGCCCTTATGAGCTGCTGTCCCGGAGGCGATGATGATGACTGATACTGCCGGGCTGTCTGCTATACACTACTACATGACACAGCCTAGCAAACAAAGGGCCCCCCCAAACCTAAACGCTTAAAACCTCAACCCCAAACCCTCACTTCTAAAAACCTAAACACTTAAAACTTAAACCTCAACCCCAAACCCTCACTTCTAAAAAACTAAAAGCACGAAGCTAAGCTCAGACTCCTGCCTTGCGGCGGGCCATGGCCTCATCAGCCAAAACTCGCAGGCGAGTTGATCTCACTGCTGGGCTTGGCTTAGATAGGTTGGTTATAGCATAGCAGAGTGTGGTTAGTAGTACAGCGTCGTATAGGACGGTTTAAAATCCGAATAAGAATAAGTACTTAGTTGAGAAAAATGACCACGGCAAGAACTAGCAACAGCGACCATGGTACCACTTAGTCACAGTGGCGAAAGTTGATACACAAGTGCTACAGCCGAACCCAAGATCACAGAACTCAACCGCACGAGGCCCGGTCGACCAAGGGCGACAGCCGCCCTGCTGCAAGATCGAGCAGAACATCGCAGCTCGCCACCTGCGGCAAGGCAGAGGGTGTTTATATTTGGAATTTGGCTTCTTGATTTTTGATAAAGGCCTTACCCAGAAGCCCCATAGTAGTTCCTTTTGGGGTTTAAAAGGAACTACTTTGGGTCCTTTGGGTAGGGTGTTGGGATCAGGGGTCAGTATCCAGGGCCATGCGCTAGGAAATTTTGGATTGAAGGCCTCCTTGCGCTCTGGGGTCGTCCTAGTAAAAAACACGATCTGTAGGTTTCTGCATTGCGCGCGCAAACAGCGGACGCGCACCTCTAAACCCGATAAACCCGCCATCACCAAGCCCCGGCCCTCGGAGTTCAAGATCTGTCAGGGTTCTGACTTAAGAATCAGGGGCTTTCCATCAGTCCAGGGCCCGACCCTCGGAGTTCAAGATCTGTATAAGGGTTGTGATTTAGAAATCAGGCGCGCCCCATCAACCCAAGGCCCGACCCTCGGAGTTCAAGATCTGTCAGGCGCTCCATCAGTCCAGGCCCCACCCTCGGAGTTAAAGACCTGTAAGAGTTCTGATTTGAAAACCAGGGGGGTCCAAGGCCCCACCCCCGGAGTTCAAGCTCAGTAAGAGTACTGCTGATCTGAAAATCATGGGCGCTCCATCAGTCCAAGGCCTCATCCTCGGAGTTCAACATCTGTCAAAGCTTTGATTTAAGAATCAGGGGTGCCCCATCAGTCCAAAGCCCCACCCTCGGAGTTCAAGGATCTGTAAACGTTCTGATTTAAAGCTGAGGGGTGCCCCGCCCCATCAGTCCAAGGCCCCGCCCTCGGAGTTCAAGATCTGTAAGGGTTGTGATTTAGAAATCAGGGGCGCCCCATCAACCCAAGGCCCGACCCTCGGAGTTCCAGCTCTGTATAAGGGTTGTGATTTAGAAATCAGGCGCGCCCCATCAACCCAAGGCCCGACCCTCGGGGTTCAAGATCTGTATAAGCGATTCTGATTTTGAAATCAGGGGCGCTCCATCAGTCCAGGGCCCCACCATCGGAGTTCAAGATCTGTAAGAGTTCTGATTTGAAAACCAGGGCCCCGCCCCCGGAGTTCAAGCTCAGTAAGAGTCCTCATCTGAAAATCATGGGCGCTCCATCAGTCCAAGAATCAGGGGCGCTCCATCAGTTCAGGGCCCCACCCTCGGAGTTCAAGATCTGCAAGACTTCTGATTTAAAAAACCAGGGGCGTCCAATTTCAGCTCAGTAAGAGTGCTGATCTGAAAATCATGGGCGCTCCGCCAGTCCAAGGCCTCAAGATTTGATTTAAAAATCAGGGGTGCCCCATCAGTCCAAAGCCCCACCCTCGGAGTTCAAGGATCTGTAAGGGTGCTGATTTAAAAATCAGGGGCGCCCCATCACCAAGGCCCCAGCCTCGGAGCTCAAAATCTGTCAGGGTTCTAACTTAGGGCTGCCTCATCAGTCCAGGACCCCACCCTCGGAGTTCAAGGATCTGTGAGGGTTCCGATTTAAAAAATCAGGGGCGCCCCATCACCAAGGCCCCACCCTCGGAGCTCAAGATCCGTCAGGGTTGTAACTTAAGAATCAGGGGCTTTCCATAAGTCCAAGGTCTTTGCCTCGGAGGTCAAGGATCTGTAAGGGTTCTGATTTAAAACTGAGGGGCGCCCCATCAGTCCAAGGCCCCACCCTCGAACTTCAAGATCTGTATAGGGTTGTGATTAATTAGAAAATCAGGGGCGGCCCGTCAGTCCAAAGCCTTAGCCTCGGAGTTCAAGATCTGCAGGGGTTGTGAATTCAACATCAGCGGCGCCCCATCAGTCCAAGACCCCACCCTCGGAATTCAAGATCTAAGAGTTCTGATTTAAAAACCAGGGGCGTCCAAGGCCCCACCCCCGCAGTTCAAGCTCAGTAAGAAAGGACTTTGCCTGGCAATCGGTGTGTCGAATTGGCTCGGTGGGTGGACTTGGTTGCGGGTGTCCTTTCACATATGGTTCAAGGCTTCCAAATAGTTACGATAGCAGTTAGGCTTTGAAGTGTCCAGTCCAGATGTTTTCAGATTCTATCGGTCGGTAGTCATACCTTTCAGAAGACTTTCAGAAGAACAAAGACACGATAACAAACCCGAAATAGTTCCGAAGTGCGCGCAAAAGTCCGGTGCACACACAAGAGCACGTCAATTGAGTCGAGATTCGCCATGTTTTTTTTCTGACTGAAAGTTGACGAGAAATCGCAGGACTGCGGGAACTGCTGCCAGCAATGAGCCACAAAAACCTGGTACCACAGGCACTGCCCGGAAATCGCAGGCTGCAAAACCAAGGTCGCAACCAGGCTGCGACAGGCACAGGGTAGTATTGCCTGTGTGCCAGGCTGTAGGCAGAATTCCAGCGCAATTCCAGCGCATTCGGCGCAATTCGGTGCAATTCGGCGCAAACGGCGCAATTCGGCGCAATTCGGCGCAAACGGTGCAATCGGCGCAATTCGGCGCAATTGGTGCCTTCCAGCGCATTCCAACGCATTCGGCGCATTCCAGCGCAATCGGCGAAATCCAGCGCAATCGGCGCAATCCAGCGCATGGCCATCTGGGGCCACTGAGCCCGCACGCACTGGGTTTCTGCTGAAGCCCGTTCTGATGCATTTTAATCTGGGATCCACGGTTTGTTTTAATGGTTTGCCACACAGTCCGCATTAGATGCTTTCGAGCTGGTGGTATGGCTCTACAGCAGAGTATGCTACAGCAGCTCCAACGCATTGAAACCTGTAACTGGCACCCTATAAACAAACCCTATAAACCCTGAACCCTAAACCCTAAACTCCAAAACCGTAAACCCTAAATCTCACTAAACCCTATAAACCCTAAACCCAGAACCTCGCGAAGCCCCCCGGGCCTCGACGCGGGCTTGGGCCTGGCTTTGTGCCTCTGCTTCTGCCACTTCCCGCACCTCGGGGACTTCGCTTCAGAAAGGGCTTACCCTAGTTGCTGAGTTCATAAGCCCCCAAAAGTGTACACTTTCAGTTTTGTAGTGGGCAATACTATCCAAAAAAGTGCAAAGTGCATCCACTCAGCTACTAAGTTACTTGGGTGTCAGATTAATGGAATCAGGGCGGCTTTGAACCTCCACTGAGGCTCGCACGTCACCACCAAGCTCACCCCCTGGCTGCCAGTACCTCCCGAAGGCTTATAGTAAAAGCCAGAAAGTTGGAATATCATTATCCTAAACCCTTTATGGTAAATTATAGGGTATCCTACCCCGAAACCATATTCCAACTTTCTGGAGTTCCCTTTAGCCCTTCCACAAGTCCTGTCATGCTCTACACTGCCATGTCGCACTCGATCAAGAAGACCATGGGCCTCAGGTCGGAAACTCACCCCGGCTATGTCCTTACCCTGGGGCTCCAAATAGCCCAAAGTAGGTATTATTTATAGACTTTAGGCCCCAAAGTAGGTACTATTTGTATACTTGGAGCCCCTGGGTTAAGAAAAGTGAAGGGGCACTGAGATCAAGGGTCTGCAAAGGAAGCCTGATACATGAGACACTGCAAATCGAAGAAGAAAGCCGTAGCTTCCCGGGGAGCGCACGCCTCCGCACCTCCACCTGAGATGTTGCGTGTGCAAGATGAACGTGAAGGAAGGAGTTCACGGCAGCCTCGTATCACCGCCGCCAGCCGGGTGATGGGAGCCGCCGTCCCTCAGCGAACAGGAAGCATTGGCTCCATCGCGGCAGGTCGCCCACAAAGCAAAAATGTTCTCGGCTTCGAGCTGTCCTGGTTGCCGGCACGGAGTTCATCTGCAAGACCTGCAGGATACAGCTTGTATCCGTGCGGCAGGAGGGACTTGGTTGACCAGTGCAAGGTGAAGACTTCTCAACTCATAAAACCGTCCCCTACGCAACACAGCGATCTTCATCCGAAAGGTCTTCACTGGATGAAAACATGGGAGTTTCCGAAAGTATAGCACCCTAAATAGTAGGATCCTCATTATAAGGACCCCAAAATAAGGTACCCCAAATTTTCGGAAACTCCCACATACCTGAGCCTCCGATGAATGCCCAAAGAACCGGGACAGCGGCAAGCAGCGCATCGCTTGATCAGCTGCGCTGCCTCCGTCAGACTGTCTGCAAGGATCTTGGGAATTCACCGCGGGGTCGGATAAATACTCGCAATTCTCTGTGATTTTTTCGTATGTGATCTCAACTCACCGAGACCCTGCAATATCAGGTTGATTGCGTCTCCTCCTCACCTCTCATGCGACATAGACGATCACATACTCTAGTAACCATTGGCCTCTGCCGCCGACAAAGACGCTGCCAGGGTCCGGAACTGCGCCTGCACGGCTCAGTGAGGCCCCCGGTGCTGCACGGTCTAGGGCTTAGGGGTTTGGTTTGGGGCATGAGGTCAAGGGTGAGATCATCTGCAGTCTTCTGTTAGAGCCTCGGCCGTATTCGGACTCTGGCGGCTAAAGTTGCCGGGTGCAGTAGAACTGAAAGCCATTTCCTTCGACGCTAAACGTAGATGTGCAGATATTGCAAGTGCAGAAACGAAAAGCGTACTGGCGTACTGACTATTGCATACTTGGAGGGGCAGGGGACTTAGTCAGTTTCCATTTAGGCTACTTGCAACTCTACTTATAACCCTACTTACTAAGTCCCCTTCCCCTACAACTAGACCTCAAACCCTAACCCCATGGATCCCCTTAAGGAACCCTATAGATTCCTTTAAGGAGCCCTCTAAGAGCCCATACTAAGTCCCCTGCCCCTCCAAGTAAAGAACAACTGACATACCAAATGCAAAAACCTCTGCCACCAGGAAGTACCTATAGTCTCATACCCTACCCCTTTGTTAAGGTACCTACTTTTCTATATAAGAGATCCTAACCATAAAACTAGATACCCTAAAAAGGGGTAGGGTATGACCCTCCACGAAGTCACGACAACGGACCATGCCGTTGATCCGACACCTTCAACCAACAACCAACAGCCGCCCAAAGCCTACCCCGAACGACTGCCTTAGCAACCTAAAACCCTCAAGCCTAGCAGAGCAACTGAAACCGCTAAGCTCGGAAACCTAGACCCAATTAGCGCAAATGAATCCCCAAGAGGACTCGGATCAACCGTAAAACACAAAACCACCCACCCCCCGTCCCTTCTGCGGCACCGTCGCGGCGCTGCCCGGCGGCGCCCAGCTCTCCGTCATGGCTTCAATGCCGGAATCCGGTGGCCAGAACGCGACAGGCAGGATTTTTGGATTGGTTCTTGCTACGATCCCTCAGAATAAGGAAAGCTTCTACTGGAATTTGAGTCAGCTTTCGTCTTAAGATCCTACATGAGCGCTTAGGTGTCGGGTGCGAGGGTTCATAGAGTTTAGGGCTCGACAGTGCATAGCCGGCCTCTTCAGGGCTCGGAGCTCTTACCTTCAGCCGTGCTCTTCGATGCCAGCGCCGAATTGATCCCAGATATCCTAAATTCCAGCATGTGGGTGGTTGTCAAAATTAGGGTCCCTTTTTGGGTCCCCATTATAATACGGAACCTAATATTTAAGGTACCCAACAAGGGACCCTGATTTTGACAACCACCAATGTGCAAAAGACGCGCCAGTTGCTTCCAGGAGGGGCCTTGAGCCGTCAACAGGACTGAGAGACCCAGCAAGAATGAGTGTCGTCGAAGTGCACCAATCCATGAAAGCGGGTGCCATTACGATGACGACGCTTCCTCTCGTTGTGATGACCGGTTGCTTCGGGTGTGGGTACAGCGTTTACCGCTCTGGGCCCCGTGCTTTTTTCACTCCAGATATCACAGGCGGCCTAATCCGCGCAGTATGTCGCTCAAGGCATTTCGGGGTTGCCCGCCGCGATGCTCCTCGGTGAGCGAGACCTTGGCCCTGTCTTGTGCGTTGACGATCTTGGCTGCCCCACACAGGCGTCCCGGTCTTCCGAGAGGCCGGAGCGTTACTTCCTCGCCCGACGGTAGCCGCAAAGGCGCTCAGAGTACTGCCAGAATGTCACAAGCACTGCGGCTTGCCTGATTCACTCCAGGGCAGAGATCGGCCGAGTGGGCTGAGGAAGTCCATGTGCTGTCTCAGACGTCGAGCCATTACGTCTGACGACCACCTTGAAGCATGTGGTAGATTCGGCATCCTTGCCTGAGCAGCAGCACCGGAGCCGACCATGCACCGCAACGCCTAAACCCCGACCCGCCCCCTCAAGAAAAAAATACAGCATGGATACCTATAGGCCCCATGGTAGTTCCTTTTTGGGATGACCTTATAGGAGTCTATTTATTATTAACCCCAGAAAGGAACCACTATTGGGGCCTATGGCTAAGGACGGCAGAGTGGCTCATCCCGAAGCGCCCGGCATTGTTGTTCTGCATTTAGCCAGTAGTGCCGGCCCAAGACCTTGGCACCCCAGGGTGCTTGCAGATTAGCGAACACTTGGGTGTGATGCATGCGCTTGGTTTAGGCATGGCACACAAGCTTCGGAAAGGCATGGTGATGCAAAAAGGGATAGGCCAAGAGCAGTTGAGCTGCCAGTATGAAACATCGATACAAGGTGATCACACAGTTCTCATTCGTTCTTCTGATTGGCAAACTATCAAATCACGCTTGTGCGTCGTCCACCATCGAGAATAACAGACCTGAACCCAACAAAGCAAAGGGCCTGAACGGGGTAGGGGTCAGGTATTCAAACCCTTGTAGCATATACGGGCGAAGGACTACCCCCTCGGCCTTATTACCTGTGTCATCCTCGAACCTGAAGCCTCAAACCTAAAACCGTTCTGAAGCTACATTGAAGCAAACTTTGAAGCTATCAGACCTCGACGAAAGAAGACAACCTGCACAAATCCCAATAAAAAGCTTGTGTAAATCCCGATACAGCACCTTCAACCATGCTCTACAAGACTCTACAAGAACCTCAAAAGTCCCTATGCCATCCGTCGAATTCCCGCTGAAGTTTTGTTACATCCCCATAGGACCTTGATAAAACGGTAGCCCCTTAGCCTGTCTGAGACCTGCACCGTGTCTGGTCCGGCACGCAACCCAAGCCTCTGGCTGAAAGCACAAAAGAGGTTTGTTGAAGGGTTCCTATATGGGAGTTTCCAAAAATAGAGAACCCTAATAATATAGCACCCTAAATAGTAGGATCCTTATTATAAGGACCCCTAAATAATGTACCCCTAAGTTTTGGAAACTCCCATATGGGCATATGAAAAGGAAATATACCGCTTGGGGTTTTGAACAGAGCCCCCAGGATCTGGTTTAAAGTGTCCAGGGGGTGAGAGTTTCTTTTTAGGACCTAGGGTGTAAGGGTTCATAGGGCTTACTTAACGTGTTTGGGAGTTTTACCATTACAATGATAGAAAAAAACCGACCCACTCTACCAGTCAGGGATTTAGACAGTACCTGTCGAGGAGGATGCGTAGCGACAAGAAACAAGGATTGCCCACTGCTCCTTTCGCCTGAACGCAAAGAGTACAGGCTCTCTACACCCCGAACCCGAAACTTCGTTCCTTAGACAGCTAGGGTGGATGTTTGCACAATCGTGGGAATCGGTGTCTGAACCGAGGACACCTGTAGTGAAGCCGAGTGGCGGCAAGGCTTCGTCGTGCAGCCGCGTGTAGGATCTGAGGTCCGCCTCCTTCACGCGAGAGATCGCTCTTCCCAACCCCCCATGCTTCGTCTTCACTACTGCTGCTGCAACAACTGCAACAAGAGCGACGACGACGACTACGACTTCTGCTCCTACTACTCTTGCTACCCATACTCCTACTGCAGCAGGGGCTTGGCTTCGGGACTCCAGCGGGTTGGTTCAGGGTTGGTGCAGATGTATACCAAATTCAATCGCTGAGGCCACAATTCTTTCGGCAACGGTCCTGAACCGTGCCAGCCTTCCTGGGAAAGTAGCGCGGGTCGAAGAGCATGTGCCACATGTGCTCAAACCATGCGCACACACCTTTGTTGTGTGGATCGTTCACCGTGAGGTCGGTACGCCTGGAGATGAACCTTGTTCCCGGCAAGAGTTCAAAGGAACTCTTGGCAGACAGGACTTTGGAAAGGTAGCGCCAGTATCTGGCCGGGCGATTCAGTACAGCTCGCCGGGTCACGAGTAGCTGGGAGAAATCGTAGCCGCCCAAGTCGTCCCCCGAAAAGGGGTCCAAAGGACGTCCGAAGATCATCTGCCACATGTTTTCAAGCAGTCTCGGGTTGTAGCCCGCATCACAGGGGCCCAGCCGTCCCCCAGGCCCAGCTTCGATATCACAGTGGTAGCGGAGATGGGAGGCCACCCGGCCCTCAAAGGACACCGGGCCCTCGTGCCTCCAGCCCAAGTAGAGGAAGTCCACCTCTTGCGGCCA